GGCCAGCGAACCATAAAACACAACTGTTGTTGGAGATATCTCATCCACTTGTCTATACCTTGGCCGCATATCCCCAACCTAGTTTTTCCTAGAGAAACATGAAGGGCATGGCGGTAAAATGTCCGATATACACTGATCCTAACTGCTGCAATCACATTCGCCCATCCAAGCAACAGAATCCCCTAGAGTGGAGACCATGCCAATCCGTTTACAGGTGTTGCGTTCGTTATCTCTTCGTGACATGTACTAGACGCAACAAACGATACAGTAACTATGGAGTTTGGAGAAAGGCAGGTCATTCCTTTCTAAAATCCACACCGTTGAGAAGTCTGTCGAAAATGCGCCGCCCGACCTGCTCAACGCCAAATTATACGATAATCACGCACAGAAGTATTTATTTTTTAGGAAGAATCACTGGCCTTTTATGAAACCTGTGGGTTCATTGCAGTGCGCCTACAGAAGCAGTACCGGAGCCCTACTTAAAGACCACTTCATGTGAAGTCAGGAGCTGCAGCGACGTGGCTCTGGCCTTGTCAGTCACTGAGACCGTACCAATCTTTAATTGTCTTGACCCTGACTTGCCATTGGAAAGCGATGGATATTGGATATAGTGAGATAGATAAAGTGAATGTTCGATTTACGATAGACCAATTCGCACAAAAACGATATCATTTATTAAGATGATGCTGCTTGTTTACATTGTAGAAGCTACGCAAAGTTCCTCTGATTACAATCACCCATAGAAAATTCCAAGAAAAGTACACATCACAGCGTAAATGCCTACTGGTTTGTCAGACTCCATTGTGTGGGTTCAGTAAATTATGAATAATTATACTCCAGTTCAGCCTGTTAATGGCAGACCTCCAGGCGAAGATGAACCAATGGGCAGTTACCGCATACCGCTCATATAATTCGACCAATTCGAAAGATTTGGGCAAATTTGGACGATGGGTGCGGTCCTGGTTACTCAAAGTATCGAATTTATTGTCAAACACACACGTGTAATATAAAATTGGGGCCAAACTAACATAAACGATCAAATGTTTTAAGAGTCGCAGAATTAAAAGTTAGGTAACAGATATTCACAACTGTGGAGGAAGCAATTGTCAATTCCACCTCAGCTGCTCCCCACCAGCTACCTAGGATACCACATGCTGTACCTCCGAGGTCTTGAACAACGGAGCATCATCGGCGTATTCAAGGTTCTTAAAGTACGGACACAGTCTACTTAAACGTGGAAGGAGTGGAGACTGATAAGATCCTTGAGGCGACCAATACCCTGGCCGCTCGTAGGTAATGTCTTCAACGGCCCGTGATCTGAGCCGCAGCTAAACTCTCTCCCGAAGATAGTTGGAGACCTCACACTTGGTTAGCATCCATGCAAGTCTACAGCCGACCTAGTACAATGTGCTTACTTTTTAACACCATAAGCTGAGTGCCAAATGAAGAGATGTCGCCTGGAGATGTTGAAAGCAGGTATTTGCAGCAATCAAGTATTTAAATATACGGTAATCGTCAGGAGTTTCACAAATCGCACAAACGTTTCCCTGGATTCAGATATTTTAAGAGGGTCACACACCTGCACACACCCAAAACCAAAGTGACTAGTCATATGATCCGGCAAACTCATGGCTAAGTCGAGGCGAAAAAGTGTGCCTGGGGTAGTAAACATCTCCGGTTTGTAAAAGCTTACTCTGCAATATATGTAAAACTGGAGGCAGCATACATAAGGCGGTTTAAACCTGACCTTTGTAAACAACTG